ACACAAGGGCAACTTACGTTCCACCCCAACCGCACTCTCCTCCCCCCTCCATACAACCTCCCCGCCTTCCTTGACAGCCCTCAAAACCCCCCTCATCGCACCCCTCGCACTCTTCCCATCCACAAACACCACAACCGCCGCACTCCCACTCCTGCGCACCCCACCGCTCCAAAGCGGCGGCAACGCGCTCTCCGCATCCTCAACAACACCTTCCGCTACAACCTCCTTATCATCGGCCCCTCTCTTCCTCTTCTTGCCCTGCACCGCACCCTCGCCCTTCCACCGCTTGTGCATCGGCGCCGCAGGAACAGAAGCGTCAAACTCGACGCGCTCGACCATTGAGCCGCCCAGCTTCTCGGCGAAGAGCGCCCGCAGGCTGGATTCCGAGGCGTCAATGGGTACGTTGGCGAGGAAGAGGCTGCGGTCTGAGGTCGGCGTCGCGACCGTCGGCGTGTGCGGCTTGATGTACAGGTAGTGTTTTGCCGCGGCGGTGCATTGCGAGGGGAGGCCGGGTAGCGGGGGTAGGGTGAGGGCTAGGACGGTGAAGTCTGCGACAGTTTTCGGGGGCGGTTTGGCGGTTTTGCTGGATTGCGGCGACATGCTGGGTTGGTGGTGGAGGGGATGGATGGGGACGTTTGCGCGTGGTGGGAATTGAGAGTAATTTTCTTTTTTTGGCTTGAGCGCAGGCGATGCTGATTTAGGCGCTTAGTTGGGGAATGTGCCAGGGAGTCCGTGATTGCGTGGGGGGGAGGGTGTTCACATGTATGCGCTTCGAAGTGGGAGAGTTCGTTGCTGGTTGACCTTCTGCGCTCACGAAATTTTGGCAGGGTTGGCACGGACGCTTTTTCTAGTAGTAGCTCCGTCACCAGCGCTGCGAGGCTGACGACTAGCTTTGCAGGCAAGTGCATTCATGTGAATACCAAGACAAATCATCTCAATATTAATACATCAATTGACAAGAAGATCAATAATAATCCATTTCCTTGCTAGGCTAGAAATTACAGATTTTATAGCAAAACGCTCTATGCGAGCGAATCGGAACGGTAAAATGTGGATATCAATAAAGTCGTGAGGCGTAAAAGACAGAAAGTAATGATACCCTCAGCATGAAGAGCGAGTACAGGTTCCAAGCTGGTACCTTAACACTCTAACTGCATAAGCAGGGGCCAATTGTCAAATGCGTGGCTGTCGAGCTGAGATAGCAGGGGCAGGAGCATGCAATAAATACCGTCAGACCAAGCTTCTACAGGCGTGTAATTCGGGTATAGGTAACAATGCCGCTATGCAGTAGAGAATAGAAAAACCAAAGAGCGGTATGTAAATATCGTGACCAAGTCTGATAACCATAAGAAACATGACTGCCTTAGTTGAAGCCACCTGGGATGCTCTTGATAGGAGACTCTGGGGGCGAATGGAGAGCTGCGTTGTCTGTCTTGTTGTCTTCTGGCGACGGCTCATGGGAGTATTTGGGCTTGAGCCTGTTGCCAATCTGTTCGAGCCTGCTGTCTTCTACAGAAGACAAAGATGAAGTCGAGTCTCCGCGCATGAGGGAAGGAGTTGAATCCGGACTATGCTTTGGAATGGTCGGAGAAGGCATGGCTGATGTTGTGTTCAGTGATCCATCCGAGTTGGTCGACATACGGTTGCGGAAGGGATTCCTGGCAGGCAGGGCCGGGGCAACGGGCTTCGCCACTTGGACGACGCGTGCACGAATTGCCTGCGGGGCCGCTGCCTGATGGATCTCGTGAACAACTGGTTCCTCTTCAAAATCATCATCATCATCATCCTCGTCATCGTTGTTAAGATCTGCATTATCAGGTGATACTTCCTTCCGGGGAGAGCCGCTCGATTTGTCATCATTGGCCTTGCTTGGTTGAGGCTGTGGTAGAGGCTCTGGTTCTGGAGCTGTAGGAGTAGCCTCTTCGGGCTTCTTTTCGGCGCTCGTTGGCCGTGGCGGAGTGGGGTGTTCGATCGTTGTCTCGGGTATCTCTATCGTGGGCGTAGCAGGTGTGGGTGCGACGCTTGTTCGTGGCGGTAGTTTCGGGGCTGGTTTCTTGATGGTCGGGGGAGGTGGTGGCAGATCGTCGGTCTGCGTGCTCATGTCGACCGTTGGTGCCCGAGGCTCGAACACGCTGCTGATGTTACTCATTCGCCAGCTCGACGGTCGGCTCCCGGCAAAGCTCGAGCGGTCCATACTCCTACGATACGTGGAGTTTCTGAAGGTGTTGTAAATAGGACTCGTCGGGCTCGGCTTGAATTCGAATTGCTCGCTTGATGGCCGGCTGTGTGTTCCTGCTTCCCTGATCTCTAGACCGGCTTCTTGTAGCGCAAGCACACCAAATGGATCGGGATCAACAGCGTCTGGAATGCCAAAAGTCTTCTCTTCGGGGCCTGTGATCTCAAAGTCACCCGGCGGAGCTTCGTCGGGAATCAAAGATTCGTCGACGTCTGTATCGCCTTGGGCTGCTTTGAGTGTCTCCAGAAGTCTTCTTGTCTCTGGAGGTACGTGCCGCGCTTTTCCAGCCAGGATATCCTTCACCCCTATGCGCTCGCCGTAGAAACGCTCATTCTCGTCTGTGCGTTCGATGACAATGGTTCCGTCTAGTTGAAGACCAGCATAGAATCCACGTGACTTGATGTAGGTGAAGAGGGGCGACTGGCGCTTGTGAATCTCGGTATCCAGCATGGCCCCGACGCCAGCTGGACCTGCGACCGCGCTGATTTCCCCGCCCAAAGTGCATCTCACCGACTGGAAAGCCTCCAATGCCTTGTCTGAATTGATGACAATGACACAGTCGTAGATGTCCACGCCTAACAGAAAGCCTACACCGACCGTATGCATCATGATGCCAGAGGGCGGTGACCATGTGCCATCCTCTTTTCGCGCAACAAGTATACCGGCTCCACCGGATCCAGAGACCCAAAAGCCTGTCCGCATGGTTGTGAAGATGCAGAGACCTTTTGCCTTCTGTATGACCTTGGACGGGATTTTCTTGAGCACTTTCTGCTTCCCTTGGGGCACATTGGCGGTGGCGGGCTGCTCTTCTTCCTCGTAGAAGCCATCCTCTGTAACAGGGTCAGTGGGTGCTGGTGGACATGTAGCGGTAACATACTGCAGAAACTCTTGAGAATGCGCGCAGCCTTGTCAGACTCAATGTCGAGAGTCGTGGGCCAGAAAGCCTCGGCGCCGACTCTGTTGGACAAGCGGTTGACGGGGGCACCGAGTTTGTCGACCCAGTTGTAGACCTTGTCGAAGCCGGCTTTGGACTGGGTTTTCGTCTTGGACCACAGAGCCATGTTGGCGGGCTGACTACGTCACAGGCTGGCCAGGTGCTAGAGGTGGGTTCGAGTGTAACTACACATGGATGCAAAGCATGGAAGCGTGGTGGATGGCTCGGGGGAAAAGCAAAGAAGGAGGTCAAGAGTCGGAAGCGTCGGGAATACGTGGTAGACCAGCAGGCGACGACCGTTTTTCAGTTGCGCGGTACGTCAGCCGATGCAGGTGGTGGCGCTGCTGTAGGATTGGGTACTTGTGTTTAATAATGCCCTGGGCAGTCTCGCGGGTGACTGGCCCCTGCACCTTACGACTCAGACGAACCCTTAGGTGCCGTCATCAGATATTGATTTACCAGATGCAGCGGGTCGTCGAGGCGATTCCAAGACGGCCGCTGCACACCACTAGGAGGGGACATGCACGTCGCCTGATTCGTTGAGGAGGCTGGGTCCTGGGTACTAGCCACTGTCTGGAGCGGAGCCAGGAACGAGCAGAAAAACACGATGAGGTAGAGGCCTGTCCCGATCGGGTTTGGGCACACATGCGCCGTGAATCAGTTGCACGTGGCCCATGGATGGTCGGCCTGCCTTCTGCTCCCGTCGTCGTCTGATGCTGGCTCAGCAGACCTGAGCGGAGAAACGGTTGCGCCGGGCTCCGCGCTGGCAACGCGCCAAGACCGGGCCGGATCAGGCGCGTCGCTCCGAAGCTCACCAAAGTTTATGTTTTGCGACCGCGACCACGGGCTGAACAAGGGACAAACGTATATCTCCACTTCACTCGTTACGGCCCGCTGGCGCGCATATGCTGCGAATTCCGTGACACTGAAATTGCCGCGCCCAAAGTGCTAGTCGCATTGTTGCTTGCAGACTACCAGGTCGGACCACTGCCCTACTAGCCTGTCCGACGCCTGGGGCCGCAGAGCAGCACACCAGCAACTGCAATGTTTCGTGTCCCATCTCCCACTCCACCTTCCACGCCCGGCCGCGACTACGATAGCTACCCCGAACCTCCTCCGTCGACAACACCAGCTGGCCATCCGCCCGGCATGAACAACGGCTTGTTTGGATCGTCGCGGCCAGCCTTTAACCCCAACCACTACGATTTCGGCGCTACTTCATTGTTTGGAAGCTCACCGCCCAAGCATGATCTGCTCGAGGGTGTTGGTTCGGGATCAATGGGCACCTCGACTGTAGGCCGACCCCAAGTCCAGCGAGGACGTCCCACCAACTCGAGCCAGTTTCGCCCAGTCAATGGTACGCAAAACAGACATGCTCAGAGCACAAACGATGAGGACGACTACACCGACGAGGATGAAGAAGAGTACGACGACGAAATGGACGACGAAGAGGGTTCTGAAGAGGAAGAAGAGCACTACTCCCCACAACGGCGCAACAAGACACAGAACAGATTCACCCAGTCGACAGTGTCAAGGACGAGCGCAAACGACGTGGAGCCGGGGCCTACCTTGGTTCGACCAGGCGCAAAGCAAACCCAGTTCGACCTTCTTGCGCTTGCAAAGGGCCTGACTTCGGATGCTGGCCGATCGCGTCTTCGCGAACCCGACCATCTGATACTTGACACAGAGTTGTTGGTTGAGAAGGTGTATGAATCGCTGCAGTCAGACACACCAGAGAAGAGGGCCGAGGTGGTTGGCTCTGTCGCTCACGAGTTGATAGCAGCATGGCGAGCCGCGTCCAAGTCGACCTCCCGAACCAACACATCCTCAAGCCGACCGGAAAGTGTAATGGAGCTGTCGCAGACCACGCAATTGGCAGCTCTTCTGCTAACTCTACACCACCCCCCACAAGTTGGAATCGATCAGCGAACCTCTGCCTTGTCCTTGGTACCAGCGCGATCTGAATCGAAACAATATACGCCAATCCCAAAAGCATTGCTTGACTGGCTGAATAACACATTCGACGGCGGCTCTGAGGTGACCGAGGTTCTGAAACAGACTGGCGGGTATTCTAGGCATCCTTCTTTCTGGGAGGTTGTGCACGTTACCATTGCCCGAGGCAAATTCGCGCAAACTTTACAGCTGCTCCAGGGCGCGCAGCTCGAACATGCTGAAACAGCCGACCATGACGGACTGGGACGCGCTGGATACACTGGGACGCATCTACAATATGCAAATCACGCACTTCGTCAAGCAATCGACCTTTTGCGTGAGTGTCCTGCTATTGCATCAGAGGATTGGGACATCAAAGGACATGATTGGACTATTTTCCGTCAGCGCGTTCAGCAAACCTCTGTTGGCTTGGAGGAATTTGCTGAAGGTGAAAGTGTGAGTCGCCACTCCATATCACAGCCTTTCCAAGCAGCCCACTTTGGCATTTCGCAGAGTCAAGCAAGCTTCCAACTCAGTGTAGCGAGCCGCAAAGCAGAAAGCAAGGTACCGTGGTCTGTCTATGAGAACCTGGAAAGGATGTACCAGCTCTTGCTTGGTAACGAGGAGGAGATTCTAACTCTATCGGCTGATTGGATTGAAGCGACCGTTGGTCTGACCATCTGGTGGAACGGAGAAGAGGAGGATCTTGGGCAAGGCAGCTTGGCAGCTAGCCGTCGTTCCTTGATGCGGTCGCAACGGGTTCGCCCTGTCGACGTGACGCCGGTCAAAGCCTACTCTCAACGCCTTTCTGCTGCACTTGCGGCGGTCATACAAAACAGCGACGAGGATTTCAGCATAAACTCCGTAGACCGCTTCGAGGTGGGCCTAGCTTGCGTACTAGACGACAACGCAGAAGGCGCGCTTCAGATTCTCCAGGGCTGGTCTCTCACAATCGCTTCCGCAGTGGCCGAGATTGCGAGTGCGGGAGAGTGGTTCAAGGGCGCAAAGGGCTTGTTGGATCAATTTGACCAAGACGACTTGATGGTTCTGAGCTATAGTGAACAACAGCAGCCAAAGGGTGTGACAAAGGACGATTTGCTCGTTACCTACTCTGAACTGTTAGCATCCAAGGGACAGATTACAGGCAAAGAAGGCCAGGAGTCTAAAGAGGGATGGGAGTTGGCCGTGCAGGTCCTAGGAAGACTGGATGATACTATAGCGGCGAATGAGCGTATCGAGCGGATACTCAACGACCTCCCTCTTGAATCATCAAGTCGGGTGGATAAGATCACTCAGCTGTGTCATAACCTGGGTCTTTCGCAACATGCAGTTGCCATTGCTCAGGTACGTCACCACTTTGGCCCTTTCTTATTGATGCTGACCATGACAGAAATACGCCGACCATCTCCGCACAAATACTGAGAGCTACGGCGATACTCTCCTCTACTACGCCCGTGCTCATGACGCATCGAGAATCCAAGAAGTCCTTCGTGTGCTAGTTGCCCACTGCTTGGTCAAATCGATGGCGTACCCTCCTCTGGACGAACTAGACGAATCTCTCAGCTCGCTGATCACCTCTCCCAAGCAAGCTCTGACCAAGCTTGCCAACACAGACTCTGAAGCCGCATCATTGCTCTCCAATCACCTCAGTGGTTACGCGACGATCCGCAAGTACTACGACCTACGAGATGAAGAGGTGCTTTTGAAGAATGGCCAGAAACCAGCCCATCGACCCATGGCCCGGAAACGGGCTGCTGCCAATTCACTAATGGTCATCATCGCCAGTGCAGCATCAAGCATCCGGGGAGGATTGTACGATCCAGAGATTGAGACCGTGGTCCCTGTCGATGTCTTGCTACCCCTTCTAGGCGAGGCGCTCATTTTCGTAAACCAGCCCAAACGCACTTTGACTCTCCGCCATCTCTACGACCTTCTCGCCGCTGTCGAGGACCTGGACACTGCCCCTAGCATGATCCGAGCGCAGTGCGAGGAAGTGCTAAACACTACCTTGCTATCCGCACACGACGCCAACTCTTCACCACAAATACCCAACCCGCACAATTTCCTCACAAAGTCTACATCCAACGTGACCACTGCTTCGAGCCAGTACTCGCTCATCGGCTCCACAGACTTTGGCTCCGCAGACAGCCAGAGCGCCGAAGGCTCCACCGTGCTGGTCAAGGGCGGTCACGTCGACGACAGCAAGCGCGGCTGGGACTGGCGCAAAGGCTTCCCCCAAGGCGCAAAGAGCGACGATATCATCGCTGTGTTGCGCGTCGGTGTAGCGCGAGAGATTGGAAGAGCGTTTGCCGAAGGCGAAATCACTGCTTGAAATCTTTCATGCTGACGAAGCTAGTTGTCTGGGGGTAAGGAGGATTTGATACCACATACTGTACGAGTAGTTTTTACATTACTCGTTTCAGAACGAAAGACGCGCCTTGGGAGTTTGTTTTTTAGTAACTTGCATAAGGAAACTAGGAGTAGGAATACGTTCAGCGTGCAACCGTTGGGGGGGGTGTATTGGAAACTAAATAATGAAATTAGCGTTTGAAGAGCATTTGATGTCTTGTCCTTGCCTGTGTCTTGAAACGTAGGATGTTTGTTCGTTTTTTGGTGAAATCGCTACTAGTGGGTAGGTGTTTGTATAGGTATGTGGAGTGTTGAGAAATGGTAATCACTCTGACTAAAAAAGTAAGGCTCATCAACTCGTCCAACTAGGCGCAGATGTATTAGGGGAGGATTGTAGATTCACCAAGGTTTAGGCGGTTAGTATCGAACAGTGGACTCTGAAAGTCGGACAGATTGACCAAGACAGTTATACAGTGCTGACTGAAATCGGTTTCCGCATCATGCACTTCGCTTGTTCTCATCGCACGGTACTCGAACAAGACGCTTACCGCACTAGTCTTAGCACCGTGCAGGACCTAGCTGTAACGTATTCTTAGTTCTCTGAAGCAACTTAGTCATCCTCTTTAGGCTAGCTAGGTGTAGAATATAGCTATCAGTGAAGATAGCAAAAGAGAAAGCAGGATATAAAGCGAAGGTGGAAGAGAGAGCACAGTGCAAGATAGTCCACGCTATGTCACGATATATCCTATTCAGCTCCAGATACTGCTATGCAGTATACTGCACCTTTTTGGTCACGTGGTGGCTTAGGGGGAGCTGAGCCGAGTATCGTCACACGCTACTACGTGTATTAGGACTATTCATTGCTGGCAATGTTAGAATCACACCGTGTCACTCTTGGCAGCTGTCTTACCAGTGGACAAAATTACTGGGACTCAGCACGGGCCAAATCTCAGCCTTGTCTCACCAAAATCTACAACCTGTGCACAACTTCCTCACTTTACAGGCCTAGAACTTTATTTTAGAATGACAATTCTTAGGAAAAACATAGGAATCTTCCTGATATTTTGAAATATCTTAGTAAGCTTTGAAATTTTAAAGACAAAGCTAGGGACGTGTGCAAATCTTAGTGTCAAGGTGAGCTATTTGCGAGTCCAGGTACTTTTGTCCACGAGGTCACTAGTCTGGGAAGCTGTCTTTACATTCATCCATTGCTCGGGACTCTTATTCTCTAACAGCCAAGCTGCTAAGGCTGGCCCTGCTTTATTGCACGTCCCAGCTCAAGCTAACTGGCGGCTTACATGAGTGTAGGGCTGTGTATAGCTGCATCTAGAGGTTTAAAAATGTGCTGTGGAGAACAGTTCCGCGACTGATAACAATTAGATAAGCACTTTTAGACGAGGCAGAGTTATTTGTTGTTACCGACGCCATGTCCGGAATAACTACATATGACTGATAATTGCGGAGACTGTGGGTTGAATCTGCAGCCTAATTAATTCGTCTGCGCAGCCTATTTGCGCAGCTAATGAGCGGCCAATGATCAAGCCGGTGTTGGCGCCCTCACGACTTGCCTGCGTCTGCGTCGGCATCTGCTGGCCGTCAATTCGACGGCACAGTTCAGCCCGCCTGCTTACAGCTGACAATATGGCGAGGTTTGAAGTCCTGCCGTATAGCTCATCTTAGCGAACACACCCAGCACCCAAACCGCAATCAGCTTCCGATACAGCTATCGTGCAAATTCGAGACGCAGTGCAAGAAACGACCATAGCTAACGCGGAAGTTTCTATACCATCCAGACAAACCGTAGTGCCGCCCTACAGTCCTGCAGATCCACTGTTGATCCCTCATCTGACCCATCACGTTCTCGTGCTCTCGAGCACATCGCAACTGGGATAATTACACCATGATTCCCGCCCCATCAAAAGTGGACAACTCCGAATATACTGTTGGATGGATTGCCGCATTACCACATGAAAGGGCCGCAGCTCAAGCAATGCTGGACCGGAAGCATGCACCGCCCCAGCAGAAACATGCAAATGACCACAACACCTACAGCCTGGGCTCCATCACCGGCTCGAACGGAGAACATAATGTCGCTATCGCCAGCCTCCCGTTCGGCCGATACGGAACGACCTCCGCCGCTACGGTAGCGACGCATATGCTCTCTAGCTTTCCCAACATTAAGTTCGGACTGATGGTTGGGATAGGGGGTGGTATCCCAAGCGATGACAATGACATCCGGCTAGGCGATGTTGTGGTGAGCAAACCTGAGGGTACATTCGGGGGCGTTAGGCAATACAATTCCGGAAAAGCTACTACACACGGCTTCGAGGAGCGTGGCCAGCTAAACTCCCCACCACAGGTTCTGCTCAACGCTATGGGTGCGCTTGTAAGCAAACATGAAATGGAAGAGAGCGACATACCTAGTCTGTTAGAAGCTATGGGAAAGCAGTATCCGAAGATGGTCAGCCAAGCGAAAGAGCCGGGATATGTCTACCAGGGTGCAGAATACGATCGGCTATTCGAAGAGGACTATGCGCATGATAGCAGTAAGAAAGACTGTGACGAGTGCGACCCCGCGAAGATGGTGAAGCGCCAAGAGAGATACGATCAAAACCCATTGATTCACTATGGCACTATTGCTTCTGGCGACGAGGTTATCAAAGATGCTCGAAAACGGGGTTTGTTGTCCAAAAACTGCCTCTGCTTCGAAACGGAAGCTGCTGGGTTAATGAATAATTTCCCATGTCTTGTTATCCGTGGAATTTGCGACTACTCTGATAGTCATAAGAATGATCGGTGGCAAAGGTATGCGGCTGCTACGGCGGCTGCATATGCCAAAGAGCTTCTTCAGATTACCGATGTTGCCGAAACCAGAAGCACACCTTGTGCAAGCGATGTTATGGATAAGTGTTAGTTATAATTCTCTATTCATGTTACGGTTTAGCAATATCATTTCAGTTTAAAGTATCGACGATAACGGCACTTCGATCATAGGTTTGAAGCGTGTGCTAATTCAAAATGCAGTAAAAGAAATCAAATCTATCACAAAAGACATTGTCCAAGATCGAAAGCGACAAGATGTTTTTAGATGGCTAACTACACTTAATCCATCTTCTCGGCATCTCGAGAGTCAAAAGAGGCGTGTTGAAGGTACAGGCAGATGGATGCTTGAGGACCCGAAGTTTGTCCAGTGGTCTTCGGCAACGGCAAAATGTAAGACACTCTGCTGTTACGGGGCTGCAGGGGCTGGTAAGACAATTATCTCGTGAGTAGAGAGAACTAGCCATTCATTCTGCTAGCTAACAGTCTGGAATAGCTCTCTTGTGATTGACCGATTGAAAGAGCGCTCGGCAGCCACGAAGTCAAGCATAGGGCTTGCATACGTGTACTGCGATTACCGTGACCAGAAGGAACAATCGCTAGAAAACATCCTTGGCGCAGTCTTGAAGCAACTACTAGGGCTTCTTCCTGAAATTCCTGAGACCATTTTGAAAGTATACGACGAGCAGGCTGCTCATCAGAAATCATTAAGCTCGGCAGATGCGGTGGATCTTCTACACACAACCTGTGCGCAGTTTAGTAAGACATACGTTTGTCTAGACGCGCTTGATGAATTTGGTGATCTACGGGGTCTTCTAATCAAATTGCGTGACAGTCCTTCCTCAATGCAGATATTCTTGACTGGCCGTCAACATATCCAGGGTACTGTCCAGGAATATTTCAACGAAGAGAATATCATTCCTATCGAAGCTCGCGAAAACGACATTCGACTATTCTGTGAACATGAAATTGGTGGAGACAATGATCTTGAGCCCGATGCTATGGATGAGGAACTTAGAAAGGTTACTTTGAGAAAAGTTACTAAATCTGCTGAAGGAGTGTTAGTATAGCCACACACAGCATAACTCCCCGATGCTAACAACAAACCATGACTAGCTTTCTACTACCTACCTTGCAAATCCGCGCCGTCCTCCAAGCTACAACAATCCGTGATCGTTACGAAGCTCTCGAGACGTTGCCGTCAAATCTTGACGAGGCCTTTAACGGAACTATGAGTAGAATTGAGCAGCAGCCCAGCACTCTATTCAAAAAGGCGGCAACTATTCTTGCTTGGATCCATCTGGCAGAACGCCCACTTACTGTTAATGAGCTATTATGCTCCCTTTCGATCAAGGACGGCGACAAATTTTTTGACCCAAACGGCATACCTATCAGAAAATCTCTACTGAACTGCTGTCAAGGACTGGCTCTGATTGACCAAGAGACATCAACTGTCCGGTTAATCCACTATTCTCTCGAGGAGTATCTCATCCGTCAAGACAAAATATTTGGCTACACCAAAGCAGCATGGCACAGCAGAATCGCACGTACATGTCTTACGTTTCTCCAATTTCCGTCAAGGGGAACTGAAGCCACAATATGGGAGAGCGATGAGACCATTACACTTTTGTTCTATGCTGCTAAACAATGGGGCCACCATCTTCGAAGGGCTGATGATGTGGGGGAGACGCTATTGGAACTTGCTAAAGAATATCTCTACAGCGGGCTAGCAGATAATCCCAAACACTTGCACATCCTGTACCAAACGATGTATCCATTTAGATCCTGGAATGACGGAGCCAATGACGTCTTGCGTACTCATATCTCAGCTTTCTTTGGCATTTCGGAAATCATGGCTCATCTGATTTCGACAGGTCAGACGAATCTAGACTCCAAGGATGAGGTCGATCGGACGCCGCTATCGTGGGCTGCGGAGAAGGGACATGAGGCGGTTGTGAAGCTGCTACTCGATAGTAG